AGCTAATTTCTTGTGCTATTCTCCCCTTCTTATTTAAAAAAAAAAAAAGTTTTTTTAGTTTTTGAAGTATATTAAAAGCCTAGCACCTTAATGCTGACCTAGACCCCTAAACTGTGCAAGTATTAGAAAGAGTAGATAAGGAACTTTCCTTGAAATGGCCACCCAATAAATTGGCAATGTAGGAAATATTTCATGTGTCAGTAAAACTTAAGTAATCTGTGTAGGCTCGTTAGCTGCAAATTTGTAACAGTCACTGTCCGTTGTGTATGCAAGGCAGAGATTGTGGCTTCACTTCCTATAGACAGGGTAAAAAATCCTCGGTAAAATTTTTTAATTATTTTGGGCTCCACTACCTAACACAGATGCAAGCCCCTGGCAGTAAGGAAATACTCATTGTGCGTTTTTGGAAAGGAACACAGCCAAATGTGTAAATAACTAATTTCTTCCTTTTTACTTGTTGGAATTTGTTTATTGGTTAAACTCCTAAGTTCCCTTAACCCTTTTACTCTGTTTTAAATTAAGCAAGCAGTGTTGTTTCACTAACACGGTATGTTTTTATGATTAAATCCTAAAATTCTGAGCAAGTCTGTGGACCCAGAGGGATTTGCTGTCTCAGCCCTGCTTTTACGTGTGCACAATACTGTATTCCTCCTGTGAGCAGAGCTGCCTGCTGCCCCTGGATCTGTCCAGGCTGGTTCACTGCGTGAATTCCAGTTGAGCTCAGTATGCATATAGGATGTAGGTGGTGATTTATCTTTTCATACGACTGGTTTTGGGGGTTTTTTGCGCACAGGAACAGCTATTTCTTCCCTCCAAGGGAAGTCACTGGGCACAAAGCTGGCCTTCAGAACATGTTTTACGTACTGATGTCCTATACCAGGTTCCCATCCTCACTAAGGGCTATATGAAAGATCGGTCTCCCAGCGTGTCTTGATTTATCTTGATTTATTAACTGAGGGGCTGTTGTGGAAGGAATCAGGGGTAAGTTTCAAAGGACCTTTCCTGAGGGCATTGTGCCAAGTCCTGTCTCTTGCTTGATGCTTTCCAGCTCAGGCTTCTTGAAAGGAGAAATATATCCATAGAAGGGGGACAGAAGAGGAAAGGTGTGATGTTAGTCTGCTTTCAGTGACTTTTTCAGGCAACCTGGCACTCGGGAGCCTGTGTTTGCACAGGTCACAGGGCGTGTTTCTATCGGTGGAGCTGTTTCAAGTGTTTTAACTCAGCTCTTCAGCCACATCGATACCTTTGGCATAAATTTGCATTTTGCTTCCTGAGACTGTTGTACAATTAAATAGAAGCCTGCTATTTCCCATTTTGTGGCAGAACAGGTAGCAGCACAACCTAAATAAATCCCAGCTGGGGCAGAGCTCACCCTTTCTGTAAGACGCTTTTCCTCTTGATGAAGACAGGACAGCTTTTCCTAAGTGGCTATCAGCTCGGTTATGTCTCCTTTAGATTTCCACAGTCACCTGATACCTCTCTGGCTTGGAGGTTGGGGATGGGAACTCTAGCTGGCTTTGTGTATCTTTAAGGTGTCTTTGTTTGCTAATGCTTTACTTTTTTAGTTTGCATGGTTTCATCACCTGTCTTGTCTTTTTTTCATGAGCAGGAGTGAGAAAATGGGCATGATTTTTAATCCACTAGGAAACACAGTATTTATTATTCTTAGGGGCTACGTTAAGCATGAGACCCGCTCCTATCCCAATAGAAGAGCCAGAATGGAGACAGACGCCTCCCCCAGTCACAGCTACCTCTGGGACCTTCAGACTACGGCGAGGCAGTCGGTTCACATGGAGAAAGGAGTGCCTGGCTGTTATGGAAAGGTATGTCAGTTTGGGGTTATGGAGATGGGCGTTTTAAAGCCAATACAAGTATCCTTTTTCCTGCTCTGGTGAACACCACCTTCATTTTCATGGATGTGTTTTAGCGTCATGCAAGCCAATAACAGTGTAATCATTTGATTCTAGAGGATAGAGTAGGAGGAGCTATTTCACCCCTTCTGTTATTTGAAAAAAATGTTATACTGCTTTGGACAATATCTCTTCTTTTTTTGGTTTTTTTTTTTTTTGTTTGGTTTTTTTTGTAGCCCCTAAGGCATCTTGTCCGTAGCTCAGTCTGAGAGTGTTCAGCTCTTCCTTTCCTTTTGGAGAAACCTTTCCCTCTAGCCTAATCCAAGCTCCGTCTTGGTGGGGGTCTGCACACTCTTTACATTCTGCATTTCTCTTTTCCCAGTTTAGTGATTTGTCCTCATAATGTATCATGCTATTTTATAGTTGATACTGGCATTTCGGCAGCACTATAATTGTTCAGGATGCAGAACTTTGTGTAACAAGCAGTGGATTCCTTGTCCAAAAAGGCTCTTACAACCCTTTTACATGAGCTGGGAACAGTACAGAGCAAAGTGGATCTTTCAAATACATATGCAGAGTGGCAGGTGATCATTAGAGCTCCCAGCTCTTCAGTCCTGCAGAGACGAAGCACTCTCTGAGCCTGGTCTCCTGGCTGCCTACGTGCTTTGGCTTTCCCTCTGCTTACAGTAATGTCTCTTTTGTGGATAATATTGTATAATAGAAAAGGGCTAGTGAACTCAAAGGTGGTTTAGGGATGAATGCTTATTTCTGTTAAGGGCTAAATGGCTGGGAGGAGTTTTCTCCTCCCAGAGAGAGTATGAGGAACCTCCTTTCCATGAAAGCGCAGAAGACTCTCTGTGTGCGCTACACTCCTCTCTGGTTTGCAACTCCATGGAGTCCTTGGCCAGCAGATTTTTAGGATGTGCTTTTGCCCTTTCTGTAACGCTTTTCTTTCCTCTCGCTTCCACAAGCGTCTTTGGAACTGATTAGGAGCAGGAGAATGCCTCCTTTTGCCTAAGCTAAGACCAAAATACCAAGCTCCCTCAGGGACCCAAGCCGTTTTACACACACGATGGACATACTTCTGTGTGGCCACAGGCCATCGCAGGGTCTTTGCAGGGCTGAGACCAGTAACTAAGTGTTTCTTTCCATATTCTGTCCTGGCAGTGCACTGATGTTTTTAGCTTTGGCTGAATGTTTCCCCAAAGGAAATAATGTAAATGTTTGAAATCTGTTCTGCTTTGCTAAACCCAGCTAATGCAAAGGCCTGAAATCTGATCGTCCAGGGGACCGTGTTTTTCTAATGTCCCCCTCTGTGCAGGCAGTATGATGTGCAGTATAGGAACTTAGCACTTTAAAGTGCTTGTAGGACTGTCCTGATTGCAGTATGCAGGATGACAAAAATGTTACAGCTCTGTGTACCTTCAGGACAGGACCGTCTCCTTATTAACCCTCTGTGTGTGAAATAGTTACTCTGAAGTAGAATTAGAGCTCTTTGGGCATGGGCGTTTTCCTTCTCGGTTTCTGACTGGCCTGAAGTGCAAGAACTGCTGTTAATTTGCTGTTTGAATCCTGAATACTGCCTTAGACTCCTTTGTGCTAGGTGCTGTGGAAACACAGAGCAGAAAGCGAAAGCTAAGCAAGCAAGCACTACCCTTACCTCCTTCTCCTAAAGCCAGTCTCTGCCGCGGCACTCTCAAGAAGTCAGACAACCTGTAACGGCTTGGTACGTGTCTGTTGGAAAGGTGTGAGGTTTGGTTTTGTGGATGGAAAGAAGCAAGTCGGTGTTGACATTGGAAATCATCCGGTTGTGTATGCAGATAACATAATCGCTTGATCTAATTTTTCATTACCCTCTTCTTTGCCATTCTTGGGTTTGTTCACTGTGTCTTGTGCTCTGAAAGGTCTTTGCTGCTGGGATTTCCTTCTTATTCTGTTGTTCAATGGAGACTTCTGCTACATTGCCCGAGCCCTGGCTTTAATGTTAATTTGCAAAGCTCTTGCTAGGTCACTGCGAGCACTGAATTTCACAGCCTTGTGTGTGGGTACTGGAAAGCATGGCTGAGGAGTTTTACTTGAGGCAAGAACACAGTAAACTCGAGCCGTAGTAAAAGCTTTGTATGACAATAAAACTACACCATAAAGCAAGTTGGGAATATGGTTGTTTAACCGTTATACTTTAATAGGCCTAGTTGAGCTGTAAGGATGAGCTGTTTTATGTGACAAGTTTTGAAAGAGTGGGAGGAAAACCCTCTCTTGGGAGCCCTGAGAAGAAGCTAACTAATTCCACTTACAAGTCGCCGGAGCCTTCCAGCCTTGTCCGTAATCTGACTCATAACAGCAGCCAGGATGAGGGTAACCAGACTCCTGGCTGTCTGGCCCAAGCAGATCAGGTTCACTTGATGCCGTAGGGTCAGGAATTAAGCATTTGGCCCACTAAAAGGGTGTTTGGCATTGCATGTGGTCTGGTGCCATTTGTCTGGTAATTTGCATTTTCCTCTGAAAGATTAAGTTTGGATGGTGAGTGGAGGCATCTTACTCAGTTTAATGGACTGTTTTCCTTAATTATATGCAAGTTGCTTTGCATTGCATGTCCTGTAGCATCTTGATGTGCTGTTGGTGCACGCAGGGATTTAGGCAGCTAGTTTTGAGCTTCTTATTGGGGAACCTCAGTACAGTACTTGTTCATTTTGGCATCTAGCTATTCAGCAATGAGAAATAGAGATCCAGAGACAATTCCATCCCACTAATGCAACTCATACAAGGGCTATATGCACTTTCCTCTCTGGCTGCAAAAGAGGAGCCTTCTGCAATTAGACCTAACGTTGGTGATTTAGTTAAATGCCTGAAGAGGGTTGAATCTAGACCTTAATGGAAACTCCTGTGTAGGTAATGCAGAGCTACTTCTTCCTATAAACTTCTGAAACATTGCTGCGAAGCTGTATAAACATGTTTTGGGTGAGGATCAAAGCCTTGGGCTGCTATATCAGTTAATTGCGGTATGTGCTTTGGACATGGACTCCTTAAGAAATGCAGTCGCTAAAAGTCGATGTGTCAAACCAGTTGAGAGCACTTCAAGGAAAGAATCTGAATTTGATTGCAAAAATGAGAGAGATTTGCTTGAAGGAGCAGGGTCTCCAGCTGAAAATGCACAGCACCAGTCAGGGTTTGGCCTGTGAACTGAATGAGAAGGGTGAGGGTTGAAGGGACAGTTTCTCTCTTTTAAAAGATTTAAATCAACAAAAACTCTAGTGCAGTTAATTATTATATTGGTGCCAACCTGACAGAATTAAGATCAGAGTAAGGGCCAGCACATATACCTAAACGTCTAACGTACATAACTGTCTGTATACAGGGTATGTGTATTAAAGAAACTAATTGGTTTATACTGGATTTACAGAATGCTGCTTGTGGTTCCTGTAATTCAATTCTCCAGTCTTTTCTGCTTTTTTGGATATTCTCCCAGGGTAGTTTATTAGTATCTAGGCTTAGATTTCGGCCAATAGATTCAGGTCTCTTTCTCCCTCTCTCCCTCCTTTCTATTTTTTTTTTTCGTTTTTTTTAAATATCTCTCCGAATATTTATGCTCTGAAGGTTAAGAGGAGCAATAGTTCCAGAAAGTAAAGTTCTATATTTAACTGCAGACTAGGTGTGGTTCAGACAACTGCAGTGCAAGCTCCCTCTCGCTGCTGTGCTAGTGATGGCAACCTTGACCTGTTCTCTTCTTCAGCCTCCTGCTCGTGAAATATGCTGAGTTTTGCGTGTGGTGATGTTGTCGTGCGGCTTCCCCTCCTTTGGGAACAGAGCTAAGCCTACAGTAGTCCTTTCTGTGAAAAACCTGAGGTTAAACTTGAAAGTCTGATTCTGGTTCAGTTTCGTGTTCTTCGTTACGTCTTGTCCCAAAGATAATTTTTTTTTTTTTTTTCCTCCTTTCTCTACTTTACTACTTCTTTTCAACCCCTCTCATTAGAACTATGAAATTGAAAATTCCCTTAGGGTTTTCTGTTTTTTAATGAAGCTGTGTTGTCTTGTCTATCTTTTTCTTTCTTTTTTTTTAAAGTGATTGGTGCTTCTCCTCTCATCATATGCTGGAGTTGAGGTTTATCTTCTTTTTCAGGCAAAAAACCCATCTAAGATTGGCAACAGAATCAATGACTGTATGCTGGTTTTCAGGCACTTTTGTTGAGTGCTATTAAAGACGGGGGAGGGGGGGGGGAGGGCTTGGAGTTGTGTTGTTTTTTAAGTATATGCTTTATCCAAAGATTAAATAAAATAACTGTAAATTCTGCTCTAAACAAAATGAATAATTCATCAGTTGAAAGTCTTTCAGTTTGTCTAGGGAATGGGGACTTTGCTTTCTGGTTGAGGGTTATTTGGTTTGATTTTATGGGTCTGGTTTTTTATTTTAACACTTGTCTGTGCTCTTGAAGCATCCTTTTGTAAAGATGTATTTAGATTAAATAAGGCTAGATGATACAGATACCTATTATCCCCATTTCATAGATGGCAAAACAGAGTCGGGTTTTTCACTTGGCTTTGTCATCCAAGGCAACTTTATTCATATGAGAAATGGGTTTAGATTTCCCAAGATAGTGAGGGTATGGTTTCATGATATAGCTGAGCTGAATTAACAGTTTGTCACCATCTCGTCCTTAGGTGTTATCCTGTCTCATCGCCCTTCTCAATTCCTCCTCCTCAGTTTCCCTGCTCCTGCCACCCTGCATTGTGCCAGATATGTTTCTTGTCTGATTGAAATACCAGCCAATTCGGCTTGGTTCAGAAAAAAGAAATGCTTTTTATTTCCCCCTGCGTTTTATTGAATAGGTTCAGCGTGCTGCGCAACGAGGCTGTGCCAGAACTGGCTCAGGGCAGATGACAGGAGAGCACAGGGAAGGGGGACTTGAACAAAAAGATGCGCACATTTTCCATGGTGCTTTTTTTTGGTCTGCTAGTTTTTGTTCTGGCTTTGTTTG